TGTGTGTGTGTGTGTGTGTGTGTGTGTGTGTGTGTGTGTAGCTGCGACTACTGCGGGATTGCTGTTGATTTCACGCCATAATGGCCAATTACGGCCACTTTCATTGGATTGGTGGCCGTTCAAATCAATTATGACATTCTAACGTGCATATTATTGCGTATGTACATGTATACCATTGTAAATAACATAATTTTTTCTTGTTGCATTTTAATTAAAAATAAATAAACAAATGGAAAAAAGTTATCGTAACCAGTTTGATTATATGTATTTAATTTTTTGGAAAGAAGTGTGTAGAGAAAGAAGGTTGAGATGCAAAATTAGTTTCACGAGCGGAACTTGAACCCACGAACCCAGGTGCTCTACCACTTGAGATATCGTTACTTCGGTCCCTGAGACGCCAATTCGTAATTCCAACCGACAATTGTTTAAATTGGATTGAAGTGTTTAAGTTATATTGGCAAAATAATTATTGAGAGTATGAGGTGAGATGAACCAACAGTTTCGGCCCAAACGTGCTTTGACTTCTCGCCGACTTCAATTCGGGAGAATGAATCACAGAAAATGTGAAGTGTTAACACCCAATTATTCACAACTGAAGATGGGTGAGGAGCAGAAACGCGTCTGAGAGATCAAAACTGCGAGGATAAATAGAAGGAATGTTATCGAAAACAAACTACAAAATAATTCCATGGTAGAAAAAAAATATTTTCCTGCATCTCACACTGGAACAGAACAATAATACTGAATTCTTTTACGTCCTTATGGATTAACGAATTCTAAGCCGAAAAAATGTGAGTGGGAAGGGCGAGTATTAAATATCCGGAGTCATTAGTATCGTCAAATTCACTAGTTTCGTGGTCCGCTTGACCAATTAATATCTTTCAATTAATTAAGGTTTTTAGTTGAGATAAAGTCAGTGAAAAATGGCAAAAAGGAGGGAAAATTCAAAAGGTAGGGTTGAGATGGGAAGTTAGTGTCCGAGTGGATCGAGGTCACGATAGCTCAAGTGGAAGAGCAGCGGCGTATTTAGCCGAAGATCGTGGGTTCGAATCCCGCTCGTGACACTGACTTTTTTATCTCAACTAAAAACCTTAATTAATTGAAAGTTGAATCAGAGGTTTTCCAGCCGTGTTCGTGTTTGGACAAATAAATTGTGTCTACAACTCAAAACAATCAATAGCAATCTATTTTTTACCGAAAACATTAAGATTAATAGAAACTTTGCCTAATTTTACAAAAATATGATCCCATCGTTGTTATCATGGACGAGGATTTTCATACAATCGACTAAAAGTGACGCAAACTTACAAACGATCTGTACCTGGATGAGGGCCATGTCGTAACCAGAAACTAAACCGTTGTATAATTCATGTCGAATTGACTTAATAGGCATTCGTGTTTGAACGGTGGTAGAACTGTTATCATCAAAGCCTGCTTGTACCTACAAAACGTTTTATGCTAATTGGTTTAATTTAAATTGTCGTCATCGTTGGACCTTATATATGAACCCATCTATAATGCAGTGCGCTGCGGTCAAAACCCAAGAAGCACTGATGATTGCACCGGTGCACACAACTTTCGGATGGTAGAGTCTGACGACATAAGGAAAATCTTCGATTTTTCCATCTTCCCCATGGGCGATCCGTGATATTGTTGGCTTGCCATTCAGTGGAGATAAGAAATTCGGCTCACTTGAACAAATGCCGAGAGAAATGAACAAAAAACTATAATAAAACATAATTTACTCTACAAGATTAACATATGTTGTAATATTAATTAACTAAACAGTATGTAGAATAAGTTATTTTCTTTAGCACGCAGACTCATAACTCGAAAGGGTCCCGAGTTCGAATGTCGTTGAACTGAATTCGAACCACAGTACTTTGCTATTTTTCTCTCTGGAGAATGCTTTTCATCCTACTATTAAGGTTTTTTTTCTTTGTAAAGAATCTAACATATTTTTGGAGTAATTTTTGACATCTGTGTCATTACGAAATGTTTATTTAGAAATCGTGAGATGCGGTCTGGTGTGATGTAGGTTTCAGAAAAACATTTTCTTTATCGTGCTAACGTTTCGATCTTTATTGAGATCATCTTCAGGCTCAAAGTGTTTGTCTTCTGTGTAACTGTCTTGCGTGTCGTGTCGAGAGGGCACTCTAGAATCAATGCGTGAGTTAAGAATAAAACATTAAAAAATATATAACAATTGCAACTTGAAAAATTATACAAGGACTATGAAAGATCTTATTTAATATGACACTTATAGGCAGAAGTTAAATGGATCACATTTAAATATCTATTTAATAAATCAGATGCAAAACACTAAAAACAATATATCATATGAGGACACATAGAAATGGAAAATGGAAACCCATATTTTAAAGGAGGTCATCAGTTTCAAAAGAAATGTTCCCCATTTATATGAAATGCGAATTGGAAAATTGTTGTTAATGCTTTTGCACGTACGCTTGGCTCTGTAAAGTTGCACGTAAAGTAGTGAAGAGCGAATACACACAATAGCTTCCATGTTTGAGAAGAACGTTCCAATCTAAATCTCCTTGATTACTCAACGTTTCTCTGGGGCTTCATCATATACTTTATTTACTTACTTAAAGTTTGCTGTTTGGCTGTCTTCAGACCGTTCAATTTACATTTGTACTTCATAACACTATTCTACCTAGGCTCCCTCTACATAAGCATAATTTTGACAACCTGCAATTCTCGTACGGAACTGCATCGAAACAAAATTGAATTAAATTATAAAATATAAATTAACGTATGTTAATTCAATGACCAAACAACTTGTATATATTTTAGAAATTCTTAGAAGTTTAAGTTTTGTTTACTGCCAACTTGTTTCTAGATTATAATAATAAGTTATTAATCCACCATTATATTTTATATTTATTATATGCTCAATTCATTATACACGTCTCATCTTTATACGACTATCGGTCACTAATCACCACACATTTATATACTTTTTATTTATTTATAATTTCGAATATTAACATTGATTCAAACAACTTTCCTCGTTAATTTGCCAAGTTTTCGGCTGTTGATACCGAATTGGAAAACCTGCCCTTAAGAAGAGCTCCATCATTTATTGACAATCCTCATTCTTTTGTGGAAGTAGGAAAAAATCCTTATCAAACTGTTAGAGGACTCAGCAAATACACCCACAGTTTCAAGACATTTCAAAAAACATTATAAAACTCAAAAAGTTTGATTTATGGTGTCATGAGCGAACTGAGCAGCAGTAGTTGGAGCGGCATGCATGGAGATGCATTTCGTTGACAAAATATCGAGCATTTTCTCGAAAGATAATAACGTGGGTCAAGTAGAGTTAAGGTGAAGGTTAGGGACGGACTGGTTGAATTACATGATGGTTTCATATCCTTAAAGAAACAAAAAAACATTTCTTGAATGAATGCCTGGGGTTCTTTATTTTCTTCGATGTCAGGAATTCCACTAAAATAATCATGACTACTCTGGTCTTTTTCCCATGTCCACGGAATTACAACCGTTGAATAGCAGCGTTTCTCTCTTTAGTTAGAATAGGTAAGGTGTTGTTAGGGTTAGGGATAGGCACGGACTGGCTTCATTACATCATAGTTACATATCTATGATATGTTTTTCACACACATTTGGTAAAAATCATTTTTGGTCATACTTGGTTCAAAAATATTAGACTTTTGTCCGTGCGTACTAGCCAATGGGTTCTAGGAGCCTATAAAAATTATTTTATTTCAAATTTATTTATTATTATTTTTGTTTATTTCAAAATTATTCAGAATTATTTATTATATATCAGTCGATTTATTTTGAAATATATTTTTGCCCTAGGATAAGAAAACTAATTGATGCTTCCAGTAAAGTAAGTAAAAAAAAACTGCTTTTGGATTTTTTTTACGGTTTTAAGCACCCATTGTAGCCCTTATCTACGAATTCTTATAGTGCCAGAAAGTAGACATTTTTGAACTTGGCAGTCCAGGGGCAATTGTTTTTCGATTTCCGCTGCCCCACTTAAGAAATCGTAATTTTTATGAATACTTTATTCCATATCCACGTATTTAAAACCGTCGGAAAGCTGCATTTCTATGCTTTGAGCGTACATCAACAATCTTTCTGTGATTTTGTGATCTGTGGTTTTCTGTGATCTGTGGTTTTCTGTGATTAAAAGTGTGAAAAATAAGCACGAAATCAACAAAAAATCTTAAAACATTTTATTGTATACCTAAGGTTCCCGTGTATTTACGGTTCATGCAATTATGGGAAGTTAATTAACCGTGGATCAGTTGCGTCTTTGCACAGTTGTTATCATATTTGTGATTTTCGAAAAAAAACACACAAAAAACGGATTATTTGGAAGGTGAAAAATGTTATAATTTTTTTAAAACAAGATTTAATATATGTTAAACTACGTCACTGGTCACTACGTCAAAATTACATTTTACACATAGTTCTCTATCGAAAATATTGAAATACAAAATTTTCGACCGAAAGACGTAGCAAACTAATACTAATACTTATACTAATTTTCTTATCCTACGAAAAAATAAATCAACTGATATATTATAATTTTGGTACTTGTTGTTACTACATAATAATTGGTTAAAATAAGGCAAACATTAAAATAACTTCAATTAATTAAGGTTTTTAGTTGAGATAAAAAGTCAGTGTGACGAGCGGGATTCGAACCCACGATCTTAGGCTAGATACGCCGCTGCTCTACCACTTGAGCTGTCGTGACCTCGATCATTCGAATCCCGCTCGTGACACTGACTTTTTTATCTCAACTAAAAACCTTAATTAATTGACAGATATTAATTGGTCAAGCGGACCACGAAAACTAGTGAATTAAAATAGAACTTAAATTTCTTAATATACTTTTTTGCTTGGCTCCGAGGGTACGAACTTCGAACATGTCAAATATTTAGTGGGTTATTTGTACATATTTTTTTAAAAAACTTTTTATAGGTATATCTAATCTAACCTACTGAGTTTATTATATTATTTTGTTATCTTACGCAAAAAACCAAATCGACTGATACATAAAACTATGAAATACCGCCCAACTACAAATCCAGCCATTCTGATTGATTTGACAAAAACACAAGCCATGACAAGAAGATTGTACGGTTCTGAACCTCTGCAAATTATAGCATAGCTTCGTAAATATGTAATACATACTGATAGGTTAAGATGGACAAATTAGTTTATCGCAGAATAATCAAATGTGGAAGTTATCTGTCTATTGAATTTTTAGCAACCTCTGGGGTTCCACCGGGAGGCGTTTATCCCGACTCCTTTCTAAATTATTTATTGATTTAAACTGCTATAAATTATAGTCTTGCTTTGCACCTTTTTTTTTTTGCAGACGATGTAAATATATACAAACCTGTAAAGTCAGTAACACATTGATATAAGACACCCTGTACACAAATACTTTTTAATTTAATATTAGTTATCTTAACCATGATCGGGTATGGCACGAGGACTTGTTGAACGTAAAGGCAGTACTACTTTATCCTCAAATCCTTCCTAACAAATTACGTCCAAGTAACCCAAGGCACCTCTGCCTCTTCTATTTTTCTCATTTTAGCCGGCGTCCTCCAGGGAAGCACACTTACTCCCTTACTTACTTGTTCTTTACGGCTGATCTCCCATTACATTCCGACACTACGATAAATTTCACTACAAACTACCTGACAACATGTCCAGATCAAACACTTCATTTCAACCCTCACAGAAGATTGAAGCGCAGGTGATTGACTGAAGGCACGATCTGATTTTATAACTGCAGCTACTGCTGCATTTTGTAGCCGTGTGTGTGTGTGTGTGTGTGTGTGTGTGTGTGTGTGTGTGTGTGTGTGTGTGTGTGTGTGTGTG